GCTTTTCCTTTCTCATTGTTATGCCAGTAGTCATAATTAAGATTTACTAAGAGAATAGGGCATCTTTAACACATCTTTAATATATTTGGATGTGCAGAAAACTTAATAACAGCGTTTGACACAGTCTGTCTTGACAGCCCCAAGATAAATGGTCCACTTTCTGTCTTACTCTGCCAAGAAGACGGATGAACATCTTAGATTGTTCAGCAGCAAGAAGACTCCAACCGGTGAAAAACAAATCTGATTTAGTTCTTAGGAGCTCTTGATTTACCTGAAGTTTTGCCCTTATGAACTTAACCTTCTCTTGCCTGCTTATTTGGTATTGCATTCGGTCTCGGCTCCTCCTTTGGTTATCAAGCCACATGATTTGGAATTAAATCATGTGCTTGAAAATGTCAAGAAGGACCAATAGGAATATTGAAAGGGTAGAGTAGCAATCTTGGTCAGCTTAGCACCCCTTGAAGCAGATTTAGAGCATCTGATAAGCTGCTTTAGAGCATCAGTAAGTGACTTCTGACCTGAAATGATTCTTAGGTTTTAAAAGCTGTACATCTGTAATCTCTCTCTCCCCCCCCCCCCACACACACTCTTGTGGATAAAAAATACTTGTTTTTAACAAAACAGTTGTATAGTCTCAGCTTTGAAAGAAGGCTTATGATTTCAGAAGAAATTTCTCCCTTGTAAGTAGAGGCTTATGACCTTTTCCCTCTTACCTGTTTAATTGCTTTATAATGTTTATATCTGATCATACAAAGATGTTTTCCCAAGTGAGATTTATAGCAGTGAGTGGTTCAGGCGTGGGATTAGGAACAAGGGGACCCATCTGAAAAGTGCAAACTTGAACTGTAGAAGGCCATGGCAGGGCTTTCTCTTTTCTCTCTTTCTCCCCAACTGCCTCCAGGATGTTGTAGTAAAAATGACACATTCCATGGGGCATCCTTAAACCTCCACAGTGCGATGTAAAACGAAATCCAACAGACGCGAGGTTGATTGAAGAAGAACTATCACTCCAGTATCACAGCTTTGTTGTTTATCCATCCATCCACTCATGACATTTTGAACCTAGCCAAAAAAGCAGTTTAGGTATGATCAGTGGGGGTGGGAAAAGCATAGTGGTGGGTTCTTCCCCATCGCTACCGGTACGCTGCTTATGGGGCCGCATGCCCTGGTCGTGCACACACTCGGCACATGCATGCACATTCCACCACCCCAGCAACACCCAGCTGCTTGTTGGAGCTTGCGCAGGCATTGCATGCTATGCGCTCATGCGTAATTGGCTGGTTGCTTTAAAAACCAGTATAGAATGCGGGCAGGTGGGCCAAACGAGCCACCGTACCGGTACACGATCAGCTGCTCCCAGCTACTACCAGTACAGCCATACCGGCTGGAACCTACCACTGGAAAAGCAGGCTTACAGGTTCTGACTTATTCCATTCAGAATGCAAAGGTAAAACCTCCCACATTTATTTTCTATTCATTCTCACTCCGTTTGCTGAGTGATTGATTAACCTGGAAGGATTGATGGGTGTTTGCCATCTCTTTCCAAGGAGGAAGGAATTTTGGCAAATCCTGATGAATGAAATATTGGGGGGGGGGGGGGGCGTCTTTAGTCCTGATTTGGCCAAGAAGTCTGTCTTTGTACCTCCCTTCTATTAGCAGATGAGCCGCTTTCAAATTCCATCTGTATTCCAAAATAATCCCAAGAAAAATGAGGAAGGAACACCTAAACACATGGACCATAAATTAGAAAAACAATAAGTTTATTAAGGAGGGAAATATGGGAAGCTTCTCAAAAAAAAAGTAAGCCAGATTCCAGGGTAATGATTGAGTGCATACCGAAATACTGCAAAAATGTAATTGTTTTTTTCAACTGGGTATAATAGGCACAGAAATAGATTAGAACTTGGCTGCAGGAGTGCTCAAGGTAGCTATAAAAACATCTGTTTATCATCTGTGAATTCATGGATGTTATTCTTAAACAGGCTGTTAGGTGTTTGCAGGACAGTGTTGCCCTAGTCAGTATTTTTCAACTTTCGTCAGTTTTAAGAGGTGTGGACTTCGAATCCCAGAATTCCTCAGGCAGCTTACTGGTTGTGTGGAATCCTGGGAGTTGAAATCCACGTAGTTTAAGTTAGTTGTCAGCGTTGAAAAATACATTGTCAGAGCCATCAGGAAGTCATCAGACAAATCCGTGCTTTTCATTCAAGGCAGACAAATTATTAGCTAATGTGTTATTTCAGTAAGTTGTTCAACACAGTGTTTACAAGGCATGTGTGGGACAATGTAATTCAGCCTACTTCTTCCTGAAAATAATACATTATCATAAAGTGCTCCTTTATACCTTTATCTCCGGGGTTATATTGGCTGAGGGAGGGAGGGAGGAAAAGAGGAGGCAGGGGAAGGAAATAAGGAAAAGAGGATGGGAAAGAATGAATGAGTGAGTAAGGGAAGAAAGAAGTAAGGAAGGAAAGAGGGAGGGGAAGGAAGAAAAGTAGAGTGGAAAAGAGGAGGAGGGGGAGCAGAAGGAAAAAGAAAGAAAAGAAAGAACAGTCTGGTGTGAGCAAATTTTAGATTTTGCTGCACATTCTGTAAAACATGCCCCATGGAATTGCCCCATCTCTGCAAGTTTTTAAAAAGCCTTCTGTTGCAAATCTACTCTGTTTACATAGCCCATCTAATCACTAAATTGGGAATCTGTGGAAGTTTCTTTAATCTTTCTGCAAAGCAAAAGTGGAGTGTTGTGTTGAGAAACAAAGTTATTTGAAAACAATTCCTTTGATTTCTGAAGCATTTTCCCAGCATCAAAGTTACAAAGTCTTACAGAATGCAACAGTTGTGTTTAGTTCCTATATTTCCCTTGCTTTAAAAAGAGTGATTGCTAGCTTTCATCCATGAAAAGACGAAGGGGATTTCCTCCTCCAGAATGCTATATACTTTTCTTATAGCCATGATTATCTTCTACCAGATTAAGTTGATCTAAAACTTTTTTTCCCCCTCTCCGGTATTTTAAACCATGCATTTATTTAAGGTTGATTCAACCTTCCATCCTTCAAGGTGGCTAAAATGAGGACCCAGATTGTTGGGGGCAAGAGGCTGACTCTGTAAACCACTTAGAGAGGGCTGTAAAAGCACTGTGAAGTGGTATATAAGTCTAAGTGCTATTGCTATTATCCTGCATAGAAACCGAAGTTTGGAAATGCCTGTGATTAACTTCTTGTCATATGTTTGCTTTGATACCAAGATGAAGCTTGTTGTTACAATTATCATTTCTTGATGTTTTATCTTTCATTCCAGAAGACCTCTTTATACATGCCCAAATTCCACATAAGGCGAAGAGAATGCCTGTTTGCATAATAAAACTGATCCTGTTTTGCTACAGATGGCAGGAGGCAAAAAAAAAATATTAAAGTCATTTGATATTGTCAACATTTGCACTAACCAATTCAATTAATCTTCAAAACTATTGACCCAATTTTGAAACTGCAATTATTTGGCTGTTTCAGTACAGTTGCAAATTGTTAACAATGCAGTAAATCCTGCTACCAATAGGAATATACTTACCAATCAATCAATAACATATGAAATTGCCTTTATTTTAAAGCTGCTTAACTAGTCCAACTTAAGCAGTACAAAATATATTTCATTGGTATGGTAATTATATATACTTGCTAATTGCAGGAAAATAAACGTGTGTCACGATTATGAAGCCTAAAACAATCTGAACATTGTAATTTAAAGATACATTCCTTTATTAGATCAGTGGATGTAAAATATGAACACTCAATATGAGCCTTTTGTTAAATAATTAGAAATGCCAGCAGATTGGGAGGTTTATAAACCCTAGAAAGATGAATATTCTATTTCTTAGTCATTTGGATTGTGCTTTGGAAATCTAAGGAAATTGAGCAGAATTGCCTTGGAGGATGAGATGAAGAGGACCTTAAAATAGATAGAAACCACAGAAAGCAAACGCAGAGATGCAAATTAATCTCTTGTTTAGCTTTGTATGAGTTTGTTGCCTCTTTTTATCATCTGAGGAACCTTAGGACTTTGTGGGACATTATTGGCAGTTGAGGGTTACACAATCTTCGTTTCCCAACCTAGTGGCAAAAATTGTTGTATAAGTGTGGGAATGCCGGCCTTCTCTGGCCCTTGAGAAATGAGTTGGCAAAAATAAAAGATAAAAAAAAAAACACTTGAGGCCAGGAACACTAAGTTGCAAATGATGAGGCTTCATTCTATTCTAGAGAAAACTTCTCCCATATGCATTTTACCACTGTGGTCTTTTCTTCTAAAGGAAGTTGTGAGTGTGGTCCCTCACCACAAAAACCTTGTCCTCTTCCTCTGGTGCCAATCCAAGACGGACGTGTTGGGTTTTGTGCAAGCAACATCAACAGTCCTTATTGTTTCTCAGACACATTGTTGACTAATTTTGCCAATTTTTTTGATGCTCTGACATTCCAGTGTCCTTTGCCTTGGAGGAAAGCTATCACAACTATGAAAAATTGGTTATAAGTAGCTCTGGGGACGTCTGTTGCAACTTCAAATTGGTCGTGAAGTGAGGACTTTCTATATGTGCAAACTCTGAATAGACAATCTAATCCTTTAGATGGGTTTCAAGCATGGTCATCCAGTAGCAGTAGTGAGGGTGCTGGAAGTACTGGGTTTAGTTTTATCTAGAAGGTTTTGAGTGGTCTACCTTTTGAGAGATCCTAGGTGCTCTCTGAGCTTGGTTCTTTTCTCGCAGACATTTCATTACCAAACTAGGCAACATCATCAATGCTAGTGGGGAGTGGAGTTTGGTCTCATTTTGTATTCTATTCATGTCTTTCCGGGAATGTAAGAAACATGGACAGTAACCTTCCTCAATCTGGTGTCTTTCAGATGCTCTGGACTACAAGTCTCATCATCCCTGGTCAGCATGACCAATGACCAGCCTTCCTTATTTTTCTTCCCCACAATATGATCCTTAACGTTGATTCTTTTGCATCTCCCTCCAGGATCTGGCCAGGGAGAGGCAGAGACAAGAGAATGCATTTACTACAATGCCAACTGGGAGCTGGAGAAGACCAACCAGAGTGGAGTGGAGCGTTGTGAAGGTGAAAAAGACAAGCGCCTACATTGCTACGCGTCCTGGAGAAACAACTCGGGATCCATCGAACTAGTGAAGAAAGGATGTTGGCTTGATGACTTCAATTGTTATGACAGGTGAGAACAAAGAGGTAGAGTATAAAATAGCTTCAAATGAAACAAGAGTCATTGTCCTTAATTCCTGTTTAGTAGTTCACATCCCAGGAAGGGTCACAGATTGGCTGTCAGCAATGGAATCTTGGCTCCGTAGTTCACATTCTCCATGTAAACAAACTGTCAGGCCCAAATAACCAGCATTCTTTGAATTCAAAACACAAGAGAGTTTTATTATTGCTACCTAAAAAAGAATTTAGCTCACTAACGGTCAAAATTAAATTGGCTAAATTCGGGAGGGACCTGGATCTCTTGTGGCGAGAGACAATGAGTCTAAACTGATGGTACACTTAACTCCGCCTTCCAGCACAGCCTGCTGTTCTGTAACCACTAAATGATACCATCCAGGGGTAGGTTCTTACTGGCCTTGCTACCAGTTCGCTTTGCATGTGTGCGCTGTTCACTGTAAATTATTCCCATGATGGCAAAATTATGGCACGCATGCCACAGGTGGCAGGCGAAGCCATATTTGCTGGCAGCCCTCAGCTCCAATGCGCATGTGCGTGCTGGCCAGCTGATTTTCGGCCTTCCAGAGGGGCGGGGAGGGCTGTTTTCACTCTCCCCAGGATTCAGGAAAGCCTTTGGAGTCTGGAGCGGGTGAACCCCCCCCCCCTGCATGGAGGTTGCTCGTGCATGCACGGGGGGGATTGCTCATACATGCGCAGGGGGGTAGGCATCCACTCATGTGATAGTGTGTGTGCATACAGTTTTGGCACACCTTTAGAGAAAAGTTAACCATCACTCCCCTATTCCCACCCACCCACCCACTGCTTTCACCCACCTTGAGAAGGTATTCCATGCTGAAAGGGGCTGTTTTCGCAGAGCTGCTTTAAGGAGTGGAAAGACTGTCGGTCATGCTGACTTCAATTTCAGGTCTCTGCATTAGGTCAACCATTGCCTGCTTCTTTTCATCTAACTGTAGAATCCCGGAAAGTAAAAAAAATATCTCCCAGGTGTTTTCGCACAATGGAAGCCTTTCCCAGCCTGATATTCAAGAGAATACCCTGTCCCTGGCAGGCCACGTGCTCCTCCCGTTTGCTTGTTTTCTGGAGAGAAAAAAGGAGAAAATCAATCATTTGGAGCGGGCAATCTAGAGAAAAAAACACGTTAGGGTCAAGGGTAGAATGACTGGAGCCGTGGTCCTGTTTTTCCAGCTACCGTTGTCCATTAATTGTCCATTTCAGGATGGCCACACAAGCATCTGCCTTCTATTTTGTTTTTGTATTGATGGCGTCAGCTAAACCACTCAGCTGTATTCCTTTTAAATGCACTTAATTGGTTTTCTCTTTGCTCCGGGAGTTTATTAAATGTTTACAACCACATCAGTAATAGTGGTGGAAAGAAAAAGTTAGATTAATAACAAGAAATGGGATGATGGTCACTGCTGAGAGAGAGAGAGAGAGAGAGAGAGAGAGAGAGAAACAAATACATTGGGTGGTCTGACCCTATTTGGAACTGCGTTCCATGTGGGCTGATGGTAGGAACATTTCTTTCAACTGGTCAGGCACTCCATCAGGAACGAGTTATGGAGCCTCTATTTGCATTACAGGTAGTGCTTAACAATTGGTTGGTTAGTGACCATTCGATGCTACAACGGACCTCCAAAAAGATACTTATGACCCGGTTTTGAAATTGTGATTGGTTGCTGAGCACCCAAAAAGTGCTCGCGTGATCCTAGAGGGCCACCAACCAACAGAACTTTGACTCTGGGTCATAAGCATCTTCCAGGTAGGTCCATCAGAGCTTAAGTGGCCAGTCATAAGTCGAGGAGTACCTGTACTCTGTTCAGTTGAACTCTATTCTGACTCCCTGTGGTCCATGCGATGAGACATGGCTTTCCCATGTGCTGGGTGGAGGAACTCTGGTTGATATTACTAGGAGGACATGTCATGGATCTTGGTGGTATCTCAGAGAAGGATGTGCCAAATACAAGCAAGGTAACAAAACTGAAGTTAAAGAAATATTATCCATTTAGGGTGGAATTGCAGGATGCAGAGATAAAGGCTCACGTAGTCTTGGGTAGGTTTGAAGACTAAGCAATTCTTCTTGGACGTCCATTCTCCAAAGTTCCCTTTTCTGCACTTCCTGAGGCATTAACTATTCACATAAATATTTGTGCAAATAGCTCACTCAGTGTAGCTTACAAACTATGGCCCGGATCTTTCGGCATGATAAAGCTGGAGCACAAGATTCGAGAGGATGAAACCACGGTTGTTGGCCACAAACTGTGTCTTTGCGTTGCATCACTTTGGCCCTCTGGCCTAGCCCGAAGGGCAGGTCAGCCTGCCACAGAAGAAGGACAAAAGGGAAGCAGTATGTTCCCTCCCATATTTGGGCATACCAAGTGATTTGACAAAACACTTAATCATTCCCTTGGCTCAGCTGATAAGGGAGGAGAGCTTGTGGCTTAGAGGTTAATATAACTGCCTAACATGTAAAAACAGCCCAAGTTCGAATCCCAGTAAGGGTATGGCTAGCTGATGAGAGCTAAATAACTTGAAATAGATCTACACTAGTCTCCCTTCATTTACACACACACACACACACACACATGATTATTTCTTAAGAGATTGGCTTGTAGATTTTATTAACAATAATAGAAAATGGGGACAAATCTAGTGAAAATTAGTTCATAGTAACAAGCTGATAACCATCCTGAGTGATATGCCAATCTGTCATTTTTTGTGAAGGCTCCATCATCTATTCGTTGACCACTTGATTTCTCTGCCCTCCATGCAGAGAAAAGCATCAGGAGCCTTTGTGTGGATTTGCAACATAAAAGGTTCCATAGGTGGTGATACCATTCAGGTAGTCCTCAACTTACAACAGTTCGTTTAGTGACCATTCAAAGTTACAGCAGCCCTGAAAAAGAGACATGACCATTTTTCATGCTTATGACCATTGCAGTATCCCCATAGTCACATCCTCAAAATTCAGATGCTTGGCAGTTGACTCACATTTATGACGGTTGCACTATCCTGGGGTTACATGATCCCCTTTTGCGGCCATCTGACAAGCAAAGTCAATGGGGAAGCCAGATTTACTTAACAACTGTGCTACTAATTTAACAACTGCAGTGATTCACTTAACAAGTGAAAGGCTCTAAAATGGAGCAAAATCCACTTAACATATGTCACACTTAACAACAGAAATTTTGGGCTCAATTGTCGTAAGTCAAGGAATAGCTGTGTGATTTGCTGGAAATATTATTTCCTCTTCTTTCTCCTTTGTTCAAAACCCAAAGGAGAGAATATTTGTGTGTTTGTTTGCATTCTCTTAGAACACAAACCTATGGTAGTTATAGTTTATTTATTTATTAATCAAATTTATATTGGCCTCCCACATCAAGGAAAGTGGCTCTGGATAACATACGTGATCCAATAATATGATATAGGTAGTCCTTGGTTTACAACCACTCATTCAGCAACTGTTTGAAGTTATGATAGTGCTGGTCCTCACACTTACAACTATTGTAGCATTCCTGCAGTCGGGTGATCAGAATTCAGATTTTTGGCAACTGGCATGATCATTGCAAAGATCCCAGGATCCTGTGATCACAATTTCTGACCTTCCCAGCCAGATTCCAACAATCAAAGTCAACAGGGGAACGTCAGATGTGCTTAATTACCACGTGCTTCCTTTAAGGACTGTTTAACCATGGCAAAAAAAGGTTGTAAAATCAGATAATTCACTTAACAGCCATCTTGCTTAGCATCGGAGGTTCCAGTCCCAATAATGGTTGTAAGTTGGGGACAATCTGTGGCCATTATAACTATATATATATTTTACTTCCTCTAATTTAACCTTCTACAAGTTTCTTTCAAGGTTTGAAGATTTCCCACCAGGAATTTTGTTCCTTTGGCACTTCTTATAAAATATGGCGCATCAGCACATACAGAAAACAAAAAGAATTTGCTTGCACAGTGAAGCAGGTACCAATTGCACAGAACAACACAAGAATTCACCGGCTTAGCTTCTTTTCTTTTGTGTTGTTTTAATGCACAGGGAAGAATGTGTGGCCACAGAAGAGAATCCACAAGTATATTTCTGTTGCTGTGAAGGGAATTTCTGCAATGAAAAGTTCACTCACTTACCTGAACCGAATGGCCCACAAGGTGAGAGTCAAGGGTGTAAATCTTTGAACCCAGTACAGTAAGTTTTCTTTTTCCTTTTTTTTTTTTTTTTTTACAAAATGTAGTTTTTTCCAGGTTCTGAAAAAAGGAGGCTGGCTATGAAAAGATTCGAAGAACGGTTGCAGAAATTGGGTATGTCTAGTTTAATGAAAAGGACTAGGGGTGACACTTTCCATTATTTGTGGGGCTGCCCCAATGAAAAAAGCTATTCTTCAAAGCAGGACAAGAAGCAACAGATGGAAACTAATCAAGGAGAGAAGCAACATAGAACTAAGGAGAAAATTTCCTCATAGTTAAATCGGTGGAACAACTTTCCTCCAGAAGTTGTGAATGATCCAACACTGGAGGTTTTTTAAGAAGAGAGAGGACATCCTTTAGTCTGAAATGATATAGGGTTTCCTGCTTGAGCCGAGGATCAGACTAGAAGACCTCTAAGGTCCCTTCCAACTCTGAATTCTGGTTGAATTAATAGATTTCGATGCAATCTTCTAAGATAAAATAAATAAATAAAAGAATTCCTTTTCCCTCTTAGAATAACGGGGTATATTCTGGCAGGCTGAATGTTTGCTGGAAGAGCTGACTTTTAAAAATCCATGGCTAGAGTTAAAAGGTTACGGGTTGAAAAGTCTTATGACCAGAGAAAGAGTTTGCTCGACGTTTTCATGAATCTGATCCTCTTGTTGCTTTTTCCTCCTCTGTATAAAATGTGATTTTGATCGGTTGGTTTTTTATTTCAGGTTAGGGACATCTTTAATAGTAGGTCAGGTCACACTGCTTCCTACAATTCTTTTAAGGGCACGCAGGAGGTCAGACATTAGTGATCTAGAAGACATAAAGTAATCCGGAATGCAGTGTCCATCCCAAAAAAAAGAGAGAACACAATGTTCTTCTTTTACAGACCAAGCCCTACTCGTCTGCTCTTTGTCCTGATGAGAAATAGCTGATTTTAAAAAAATTGAATCAAAGTTCTCGGGATCGTTTAAGTAATTAAGCAGTGAGCTGCTGCACTCTGTTGATTCAATAAACCAACAAGCAAAAGATGGTTTGATATAAGGGGAATTGTAAAAAAAAGATGAAATAAGAAATTTCAGGGAAATTTGGTGACGGATGCCTAGCAATGCCATGATGCCCAATGTGGATTAATACTCGGGAGTCAAATTCCTTAGCACAAGTATCAGGTCACATGTGATGGTGTGATAAAAGTCATGATCTATGCTTCTTCATTTCAGTTTCACTGCAGATTCTTGCAGATGTTGCTGTTCAGAATTTCTTGTTCTGGAGACATGTTGAACCATCTTCAAAACAACTGCCGTTTGTTAATGATACCCACTTAAGAGAAAGTTGGTGGACATGACTGGATCATTATGGACCAATGGACTGTTCATTGCTAGCTAAGACACCATGCTGCAATTTTGCTTCAGTCTGTCAGCTGAATGTACTAATTATGAAAAATATTGGTCCCTAATAGACCATTTTTCAGGAGCCAAAATCAAAACATTCTGGAGCCCTTTTCAATGATATATGCATGCCTCTCTAAAATGTTTTGATTAAAATAACATTTTAAAAGCCACAATATAATGTTTTAGAAACTCCTGTTCTTTTAATTTAATTGACGCTAAAGCTTAAATGCTGGGATCCCAAAAATAACAGCCATTAGGGTACATATACCTGTCTGGTTATGCAATGAAGCATGGGGGCTTCTACGCAAACTCAGTTTTTCACACACACACCCTCGCCTCCCTCTCAAATTGATTTCCTCCTGGGAGAAAAAAGTATGGTAGGGCTCTTAAGCACTATCATTTTGGGGGAAGAATTCCCCCCCCCCTGGCTCTTCAAAGAAGGAGAGATAAAGATATTGTGGAACTTATGAATGCTTAAGAAAAGCTTCAGCGATTATTAATATGGGCAAGCACTAACATTCACATCAAATTGGTTGAAATGGTCACGTTAAGATACAGGTAGCCCTCAACTTACAACAGCTCATTTAGCGACCATTCAAAGTTACAACGGCAACTGAAAAAAAAGCGACTTACGGCTGTTTTTTTTTAACCTTTGCAGCAACCCCATGGTCACGTGATCAAAATTCAGGGATCACGTGACCTGACAAGCGAAGTCAATGGGGAAAGCCAGGTTCATTTAACAACCGGGCAACTAACTGAACAGCCGCAGTGTTTCGCTTAACAACAACAAAGGTCTCAGTCTGGGGGCAAAGCTTATGTAAGTGTCTCGTTTAGGAACATAAATTTTGGATTCGATCATGGTTGTAAGTTGAGGACTCCCTGTTGCTTCTACCTTGCCTTGATGGCAGGATGTTGGAGACGGACATTTGTACCTGGTCTAAACAGGATTGCTATTTTCTTTCTTTCAGTGGTTTATGAGCCACCGCCGCCAAATGCCTCCCTACTCCATGTTGTGGTTTATTCCTTGTTTCCCATGACTGCTCTCTCCATTGCCATCTTGCTCGCTTTCTGGATGTACCGTCACCGCAAACCTCCGTATGGGCACGTCGATGTCAGTGAGGTATGTAAGATGGGAGAGCTCTCTGGTTAAAGTAATTACCGTATTTTTCAGAGTATAAGACGCACCTTTCCCCCACCCCCTAAAAGAGCGTGGAAATGTTGGTGCGCCTTATACACTGAATACAGCTATTTTTGGCCTCCCGAAGCCCAGCCCCCGCATCCCATTTTTGTGGGAAATGGGCCATTTTTTGCCAAAACGGGGGTGTTTTTGCCTCCTCTCATCCCCCAGAAGCACTCTTCAGGCTTCAGCAGGGTTGGGGGAAGGGAAAAACGCCCCCGTTGTTTTGGCGAACAACGGGGGCATTTTTGCCTTCCCCCAGCCCTGCTGAAGCCTGCAGAGTGCTTCTGGGGGGCTGGGGAGGACAAAACCTTTTTTTCCTGACTTAATCTCTTTGAAATCTTGGTGTGTCTTATACACCAGTGCATCTTATAGTCCAAAAATATGGTATCTGTTCAAGGAATTCAGTTATGTCCTTCATTCCAGTGGTGTAAAATAAATTGAATTTAAACTTGAGTGCAGGAAGCAATGGCTGAGCGGTTACAGACTCTGACAGCCCAGGTTCGAGACCTAAGTGCCACACAATGGGGCGAACTACCGTCACTTGCTCCAGCTCCTGCCCATCTAACAGTTCCAAAGAATGTAAATGCGAGTAGATAAATAGGTACCACTTTGCTGGCAAGGTAGCAGTGTTCCATGCGCCTTTGGCATGTAACTGTGCTGGCTACATGAACACGTAAGTTGTCTTCGGACAGCGCTGGCTCCTTCGGCCAAGAAACAGATGGGCACTAGAGTTAGACAGGACTGGACAGAGAAACATTTGGCTTTTTATATAGATCACCACTGCATAGCCTGTAAAAACAAAGCCAAAACGCGGGTGAAAATGCAAGCGCGTTCTTTCTGGGGAAGATTCCTGAACTGCAATGTCTGGATTTCCTACTCTTGGTCTACTCCTCCAGATCAAATTGTCTAAAAACTGCTCTGTTGAGGAAAAGATAAGATATTCTATAGACACCCTCTCAATTTGTGTCAGTCATTGGCACCTGCCAGCTCCATAACAACTCCTGCAAGACATCCTTCCATAGCTTGACAATATTTCAATTTTATCTGATTCCTATCACCCCCTGCCTTTCCCTCCTAGGACCCTGGCCCCCCACCTCCTTCTCCGATGGTTGGACTGAAACCCTTGCAGCTGTTAGAGGTCAAAGCCAGAGGACGTTTTGGCTGTGTCTGGAAAGCACAATTGATGAATGAGCATGTGGCAGTGAAAATCTTCCCTGTACAGGTGAGGAATGGAATTACTTTCCAATAACACCTGGAGCCAGGTAAAACTGTTTTGCAGAATTCCAAAATTCTAGCAATTTTATCAAGGGGTCCATGTTTTAAGGCTTCAAGGTAAGTAAATTCTGTAGCAGTTTGTTCCAGCCTTGACCCCTTGAAGTTGGTGGACTTCAACTCCCAGAATCCCCTCCCCCGGCAGCCACATTGGCAGGGGAATTCTGGTAGTTGAAGTCTACATCATTTAAGTATTGCCAAGATTGAGAAACACTTATTAGGTAGGGAAAACTCAATCTTGAAAGCTTGATGGATGGTTCCTCTCTGCCCCCAATCTTATACCAAAACAAATCAAGGGTTATTTTCACACCTCCTGGGGCAGAGTTACCGTTTCTCCTCCCTTAAAGATTCACTACTCTTGTCCCTGATTTGCTCAGCTACATCTCCCTTGTTTCATAGATTGAAACCCCGGTTGCACGATTCAAGGCCTAGCCAAATGACTTGGGGGGGGGGGTCCGTTTTGGATTTCACGCTAAGCCATTATTTATTCTGTAAGTGTGCAGGCAGCCTGTGTTCTATGCGCAAGTGAATGGCAATAAGTTCCCAGCTGCGTGAATCTGCAAGCATTTTATATATGGCTGTTTTTATGTTATTTATCTTGGCAGCTTCTTCAGGCATGACAGCGGAGATAAAATATTTCAAATCACACTTCAAGGCACGTTGATTCCAAAGTCTTGGAACCGTATCCTAAGGCCTTTCCACAAATTGCCAAAAGGATTGTAATTTTTAATGCAAGAAGAGGGAAACCGTTAAATCTATGGCTTGTCGTTGCCTTTAATCTCAAAAAGATTGCCCATCCTTGCTAGAATTAAACATAAGTAATGCGTTTTGCAAAAACCTGAGACTATTATGTTCAAATTGAGAGGCGTCATTATAGAAACTTTATTATTCTTTCCTGGGTCATCTAAGAAAAGAAATTTTACAGTACCAAGTAACAGATTTTTGATAGCTTAAGCTTCTGTAAAACATTAATCATGCAAACCTAAACTATGTTAAACATGTAAAATGGGGGGAATATCTTTGGAACTATTTATTACAGGCAGCCCCCGATCTTCAACAGTTCATTTACTGTTTAACATCATTGAATAAAATGATTTATGACCATTTTTCACAGTTGCAACTCTTTGCAGCATCCCCATGGCCACCTGATCAAAATTGGAAAGGTTGGCAACTGGCATGTACTTACGACAGTTTCAGTGTTCCAGGGTCATGTGATCGTCTGTGTTGACCTTTTGAAAAAGCCAAGTCAATGGAGAAGCCAGACTCACTTAACGCCTGGATTACTCACTAAGCAACTGCGATGATTCACGTAACAGCCGTGCCAAGAAAGGTCATAAAATGGGGCAAAACACACTTAACAACTGTTTTGCTTAGCCGTGGAAGTCTTGGGCTCACTTGCGGTCGTAAGCTGAGGACTATCTGTATTTGCATCATTTCGCATTTTCTGGTTCCTGTTTTTTTTTTTTTTTAATCCACCATCCCCTGTACAGATAAATCAGAAAACGGAATGCGAAGGAGGAAGCAGATAGCTGCTCCTTCATTAGTGCAAAGTTCAGTGTGGGAGATGTGACAAGCAATCAGAGGGCTACACAGCCTTCGCCCCTGAAGGTTCGGAGAACTTCCTAGCTTAGCTACTTTTTCCCAACTGACAGTGGAGATTTTGAGCCAAGGCAGTAGCTAGGAGAAACACCGAAGCATTAAAAAGAGCCACATGTGAACCAAAAGAAAAAACATGGGTTGGAGAGTGTCCAATTTTGTGGGAATTGCTGGAGAAAAGGACGTGATCAGAAGAGGGTACGTCTTGCCGTATTTTTTTGGCATATTAGACGCACCTTTTTCCCCTCAAAAAAGAGGCTGAAAATCCAGGTGCATATTATACACTGAATACAGCATTTTTTTGTCTCCTGAAACCCTGCCCCCTTCACCAAAATGGCCACGCAGAGCCTTTAGGGGTTTTTCAGAGTCTCCTGGGGGCTGAGAAGGGAGAAATGAACAAAAAATGAGCCATTTCTTGCTCAATTTTGCCCCCCCCCTCTGCCCCAGGAGCAGTGCCCTTTTTTTGACCAAAAACGGGTCCATTTTTGTGAAAAACAGGGTGTTTTTTGCTCCCCCTACCCCCCCAAAAAAACACTCTACAAGCCTCCTAAGGGCTATTCACACCCTTTAAAAAAAATGAGCCGTTTTTATGAAAAAAATGGGCTGTTTGGGGGAGATTTGCAGAAGGCAAAAACTTTTTTTTTGTCTCTTCAAAACTTGGTGCATCTTATACTCTGGTGTTTCTTATACTCTGAAAAATACAGCAGCTTTTTATTTCCTGATTGAATAACATCTAGAGCAGCGATGGCGAACCTTTTTTGGTTTGCGTGCCATAAGTGGGGGGAGGGCAGGGGTGGGTCGTGCGGGGGCGTGCCGCACCTATAATGCAATGCGCGATACCCCCAGTGTGCATGCACGCAAGACAGGCGCTCCCCCCCCATTTTTTTCATGCTTTTTTCGCCCTCTTTTCTTTTTTCTTTCTTTTTTTCCAGAGCGCTACTTCTTAACCTCAGTTGATTTTAATAGGCTGGCTGAGGAATTGTGGGAGTTGGTCCTCACGCCTTGAAGTCACTGAGGTTGAGAAACACGGTTCCAGAAGAAGGCAGGATGGAAGGGATGTGAGAGTATCAGGTTCCTGTGCCTTTTCTCCAGTTTTCTAAAATTAAAATAAATTCAGGGAACGCAGAGGAGAAGCTCTCCCTGCAAAGTTGATTGTGTTATCTGGCCTAGGTAGCAGTCTGAAAGGTTAACCAATCATTTGCAGGATGATCATCGGTGTCCACCATATTTGTTTCTGAGCAAAGCTTAATGTGTTTAAAATTGCAAGGCGCAGTTCTCCCCTCCCTCTTCTCCAAATATTTTTTTATTCCATCTCTATTGCAAGCTGCATTTGTAAATACGGAGATGCCAAGAGTTCTGGAAAAGGGAGGAAATGCAAAGATGGTCAAATTACCAGGACTATTTTTTTGGGGGGGATGGATGGAGATAAAAGCAGCATCCTGATGGCTGTAACATCACAAATGTCTAGAGATATCATTTGTCCTCCGAACAGGTTTGCCTGTTTCCACCACTTTTTATAACCTTCTGCCCTCTCTCTCTAGGACAAGCAGTCTTGGCAAAGCGAGAGGGATATCTTCAACACCCCGGGAATGAAGCACGAAAACCTTTTGCAATTTATTGCCGCCGAGAAGAGAGGAACAAACTTGGAGACGGAGCTGTGGCTCATCACAGCTTTCCATGAGAAGGTAACAAGGCCCTGCTAGCTTGATGCTTTGTGTGTGTCAGAAGGACCGAGTTATGCATCTCCTAATGGAGAGCATTTCACAGACACTTCACAACACAGGAAAAGATCCCCCCCCCCCAGGCCCCTCTTCCAGCTCAGAGGCAACAACCAAGCTTCTGCCAACAGGTGCATCTTCAGAAGATCTCCGCCTGCAGATTTAAGTACCAGAGGTGGTATTCAGCAGGTTCTGGCCAGTTCTGGAGAACCGGTAGCATAAATTTTGAATAGTTCAGAGAACCGGCAAATACCACCTCTGACTGGCCACGCCCCCATCTATTCTCTGCCTCCTGAGTCCCAGCTGATCGGGAGGGAATGGGGATTTTGCAGTAACCGTCCCCTGCCATGCCCACCAAGCCACACCCACAAAACCGATAGTAAAATAGTTTGAATCCCACCACTGCTAAGTACAGGTGGTCTTTGACTTATAGCTGGTCACTTAATGACTGTTTGAAGTTCCTGAATACTTACATGAGGGAAGGAGGTATTTAGAATCTGGGTTCAAAAATTCTGACAGTCCCTGGCGGTTATACAACCACACTTCGTGCTCACATGAATAGTCGTTTGCAGCATCCAGCCGTCATTTGACTGTGTTGTTCCATGGTGCCAGCCTTTACTTTCAGTTTTTGGCAAAACCTCTCATCATGAACCATTGGTTCCCTTAGCGACTGCAGTGATTCACTTCATGACCAAAGAGGTCAGTCATGGGGCATTAATGAGTTACGACCATGATAGGCAGGCTCCATTTCGGCCATAACTTGAGGACTAGCTGTAAGTGGGCCCAGTTATTGTAGAAGTGTTGCTGTAAACTCAGTAACAGCCAAACAAACCCAGCATTCGTTTTCAATCGCATTTATTCCCATTGGGAGGATATTTTGTGTTTTAATTCTCTCCTGCAGACAAATGTCAGTGGCAGAGAAGCAACTTAAGGAGGAATTTCCTGACAGTTAGAACAATTAATCAGTGAAACAACTTGCCTCCAGAAGTTGTGGCTGCTCCAACACTGGGCGTGCGGGTTAAGAAGAGAGTGGACAGCCATTAGTCTAAAATGGTGTAGGGAGTAGAAGACCTCCAAAGTGCCTTCCAGTTCTCCGTTAATTCTGGACACTTGCTGTGTGTGTATTCTATGCAGAGTCATGCTTTTAGAACTGGCCCTTGGGCTGGCTTCCAGAGAAGCATGCTTAAGATTCCTGCTTTAAAATACTGGCTGGGCTCACAGTAAATGGCACACACACACACACACACACACACAGACACACATGCTGGAATAAAGAGTCACGGATCCCATTTGGGAGGGTGTCAAAAGAGTTGCAGACATCACCTAGGTTTGTTCCCCCAGGGGTCCTTGACTGACTACCTGAAGGGGAACGTTATCACCTGGAATGAGCTCTGCCACGTGGCAGAAACCATGGCCCGCGGACTCGCCTATCTGCATGAGGACATCCCTTGGTGCAAGGGGGAAGGACATAAGCCTGCTATAGCCCACAGGTAGGTTCCATTTTTGAGTCTGTCTTAGCATCAAGTCAAAGTTTGTTTGAGATTCAGCCTGCTCTCCTTGGGATGGAGCTCAAGGGGATGCATTGATCACTCCTTCTTCCAAGCTAAACAGTGTGCATTTCTCACACGGCTCAAGGGAATTATGACTTTTTTATGGGAACGCTAGCCGTATCTTGGCTTTCCTTTGAAGTAGTAGGCTAAATGGGTGGGGTGGGGTAGGTGAGGGAGGGGGACGAACACAGACAAGGGAAGAGCAATCCAATAGGACATCCTGAGCCATCTGGGAGCTTCCATGCCAGTTGCACCAGCATTGTTTAACCCAGTGTTTTTCAACCACTGTGCCGCGGCACACTAGTGTGCCGTGACATAGTGTAAGGTGTGCCGTGAGAGAATTACTTTATATATAGTCAATATAGGCACAGAGTTAAATTTTTTTAACATTTTCTAATGGTGGTGTGCCTCGTGATTTTTTTCATGAAAAAGTGTGCCTTTGCACAAAAAAGATTGAAAAACACTGCTCTAAGCTATTCAAAGGATTGGCACATTTAAAATGGATTAAGATAAGGCCTGCGCCTCAAGACTAAGTTTTAATACAGAGTTTGACAAAACATTCTAATGCCAAAATAAATCAAGCGTGTAGAAGAAAATCTGTGATAGATTTTCTAGCATTTTTTTTTTGCCAATGGAAACACAAGCAAACCAAAATGCTTCCAATGGCTATTAAGTTCCGAAGGGTTAATGAAAATAGCCAAACACAGAAACGGTTTGTAAATGCAGTTTGTATTCTTCCTCCGGCACGAACTGACCAACAAAGCACTAAGGCAATGAATAAATTGTCAGA